TTATCTTGATTTGACCTTATTTTCTGTCTGTTAGAGAACGACTGTTTACTGTTGCTGGTAGTATTCAGACCGTTTATGTTTAACCTGGGAAGAAGAACAGTTGTTGAAGTAGGGTCCTGAGCTCCGGAGGGGGCTTAGTGTAGTTTGTTGTGCCTAAAAATAGGTTCTGATTTATAGGTTGATGGTACAGCACACCTGTGTAAGTGTGCTTATATATATATATATATATATATATATATATATATATATATATATATATATATATATATATATATATATATTATATATATTTATATATATATATATATATATAATTTGTTTATGTATGTGTGTGAGTAGCCGAGATATAGAGAGGAAGAGGAGAAGAAAGGTTGGGGGGTGGGGGGGGGGTGAGGGAATTAAGATTGCGAAAGAGAATTTAGTTTATACACCGGGTCTCTCGATGTGCATGGCGTTAATAAGCAATAACCAGGGTAATAATACAGGTAAATTTAGCTGTTGCTTAATGAAGCGACAAATTAGACAGTGCCCACACATTGCCGTCAGGGTAGATCAACGGATTCAGGCTTCACTGACCCCAGTAAACTTAAGGCTCTCAAAACAGACGTTGACTGTCAATGTATAGTCTGACTGCTGGATGATGTGGTGCTAGTAGTTGTGGCCGAAAGTTTCTGCCCACCCCGGGCGGTAGATGAGTCTCCTTCGTCTCCCTACATCATCACCACTATCACCATCAACATCATCTTTATTAGAAACATCACGATTATCCCCATCAACATTGCCAGTATTACAGACAACACAATGATCTCACATAATACCATGCACGCATATCACATACACACGAGACACCTCCACAATGATGTCACATACATACCACACACGCATATCACATACACACGAGACACCGCCACAATGATGTCACATACATACCACACATGCATATCACATACAGACGAGACACCGCCACAATGATCTCACATACATACCACACACGCATATCACATACACACGAGACACCTCCACAGTGATCTCACATACATACCACACACGCATATCACATACATACCACACACGCATATCACATACATACCACACACGCATATCACATACATACCACACACGCATATCACATACATACCACACACGCAATCACATACATACCACACACGCATATCACATACACACGAGACACCTCCACAATGATGTCACATACATACCACACACGCATATCACATACATACCACACACGCATATCACATACACACGAGACACCGCCACAATGATGTCACATACATACCACACACGCATATCACATACATACCACACACGCATATCACATACACACGAGACACCACCACAATTATGTCACATACATACCACACACGCATATCACATACACACGAGACACCGCCACAATGATGTCACATACATACCACACATGCATATCACATACACACGAGACACCTCCACAATGATCTCACATACATACCACACACGCATATCACATACACACGAGACACCGCCACAATGATCTCACATACATACCACACACGCATATCACATACACACGTGACACCGCCACAATGATGTCACACAATTCAATCACATACACATCAAACACTGATATTACACACACCACACATTGATATCTCGCACACACCATACTACATACTGATATCTCACAAACACCACACCATACACTGATGTAACACAATGCTACCATTTACACCACATACCATCACATCACACACTGATATCACGTACAATAATACCATTCACACCACACCACACAACACCACTCTACTCCACACAACACCACTCCATACAACACCACTCCACACTTATATCACATACACCTAATACTACTTTTTTTACACTACCACGCATCATATATACACACACACACACGACATACACTCAATAAAACTGCGCACACACTGATTCGTTTAGTTTAAAAATCAACTGTATTTACAACTATAGTACCTCTTTCAGTGTTTTGGGCTGAGCTGTGTGACTAAGGGCCAGGTGTCTTCTGTAGTAGTCATCACCAGTTTGGACGTTTCATTTCGGCCCGGACAGGACAAAAAAAAAAAAAATGCCATCAAGTAACCGATCCCCTGCATGAAAGCACTTGTCATCCGCGCTTGGGGACGTTCACTAGACCGAGGTAATTGGTAACAGTCAATGTCGTGGAGCCGTCACCGCCATGATGCCGGCTGAAGAACAAGCAGAGATAAAAACCTCTGACTTGTCAAAGCTACCCAGAGTATACAAGACAACAGTGGGTAAGTGTGTTTGTGGGTTGTCTCCGTCAGGTTACGCCCAACTTCAAATATCTGTAACTGTGTAACCGCAGGTGCAGATTGTTGACATTTTAGATTCAGCCTATACAAATCCGGACTTACTGGAAAGAATAATCATGTAAACAACTACGTAATTTGTTTCCTTATTCCGTGTAGTCGTTTGTTTGGTTATATTCATGACATTATGTTTGCGCTGTACAGCTGACACCACTGTTGGAGCAGTGCTCCTTCAGGACACTTCTGGTAGCAGCTACGCCGACAGCAAGAAAACTTTAGAGGGGTGAGGAAATTCGTCAAGGAACAAGCCCTACCAGGTTCCGAAGACGATGATCTGCAGGGGACACCTGTACCGAAGAACATTATCTGCTCGGGAGACAGCTGTACCGAAGAACATGACCTGCCCGGAGGCAGCTGAACAGAAGAACATAACCTGCCCAAAGGCAGCTGTACAGAAGAACATGACCTGCCCGGAGGCAGCTGTACAGAAGAACATGACCTGCCCGGGGGCAGCTGTACAGAAGAACATGACCTGCCCGGAGACAGCTTTACCGAAGAACATGACCTGCCCGGAGACACCTTTACCGAAGAACATGACCTAAGACACCTTTACTGAACAACATGACCTGAACACAGACAGTTGTACTGAAGAAAATGACCTGCAAGGAGACACGTAAACTAAAGAACATGACCTGCAGAGAGACACCTGTACCGGAGTAAATAAAATGCACGGAGTCTTGTGTTTGTCCCTGGTGCAGGCCAGACCTGCTCCTGAAGCTCACGTCGAGTGACAGACAGCTGGGCACTGCCATGACACTGTGCCGTTGTCAGCAATTGTACCTTGCTGTATCTGTAGCCTAGGAGCCGGGCGGATATTAGCGGAGAGCATGTGTGTCAGTCAAATATTACTAGATGTATCTGTTATTCAAATCATTAGGATTATCATTTGATTACTAATATTATGATGCTAAAGTGAACACACACAAAAATAGTACAATGCTCAAAATAAAATGAAATGTAAAAACAACTATCCAGGTTCCGCTACTTACGATCTCGACAACATTTACAAAGTGCAGTCATGCTTTTACTCAGGCCAACATCAATCACTGGTGTGAGTTGTGCTTCTACGCAGGCTAACGTCAATCTCTGTTGTCAGGCATGTTTGTACTCAGGCTAACGTCAATCTGTTTTGTCAGGCATGCTTGTACTCAGGCTAACGTAAGTCTCTGTTGTCAGGCATGCTTGTACTCAGGCTAACGTCAATCTCTGTTGTCAGGCATGTTTGTACTCAGGCTAACGTCAGTCTCTGTTGTCAGGCATGCTTGTACTCAGGCTAACGTCAATCTGTTTTGTCAGGCATGCTTGTACTCAGGCAAACGTTAATCTCTGTTGTCAGGCATGCTTGTACTCAGGCAAAAGTTAGTCTCTGTTGTCAGGCATGCTTGTACTCAGGCAAACGTTAGTCTCTGTTGTCAGGCATGCTTGTACTCAGGCAAACGTTAGTCTCTGTTGTCAGGCATGCGTGTACTCAGGGAAATATCAATCTGTTTTGTCAGGCATGCTTATACTAAGGCTAACATCAATCTGTTTTGTCAGGCATTCTTGTACTCATGCTAACATCAGTCTGTTTAGTCAGGCATTCTTGTACTCAGGCTAACATCAATCTGTTTAGTCAGGCATTCTTGTGCTCATGCTAACATCAATCTGTTTAGTCAGGCATTCTTGTTCTCAGGCTAACATTAATCTGTTTAGTCAGGCATTCTTGTACTAAGGCTAACATCAATCTGTTTAGTCAGGCATTCTTATACTCATGCTAACATCAATCTGTTTAGTCAGGCATTCTTGTTCTCAGGCTAACATCAATCTGTTTTGTCAGGCATGCTTGTACTCAGGCAAACGTTAATCTCTGTTGTCAGGCATGCTTGTACTCAGGCTAACATCAATCTCTGTTGTCAGGCATGCTTGTAATTAGGCTAACATCAATCTCTGTTGTCAGGCATGCTTTTACTCAGGCAAACGTTAATCTCTGTTGTCAGGCATGCTTGTACTCAGGCTAACATCAATCTCTGTTGTCAGGCATGCTTGTAATTAGGCTAACATCAATCTCTGTTGTCAGGCATGCTTGTACTCAGGCCTACATCAGTCTCTGTTGTCAGGCATGCTTGTACTCAGGCAAACGTTAATCTCTGTTGTCAGGCATGCTTGTACTCAGGCTAACGTCAGTCTCTGTTGTCAGGCATGCTTGTACTCAGGCAAACGTTAGTCTCTGTTGTCAGGCATGCTTGTACTCAGGCAAACGTTAGTCTCTGTTGTCAGGCATGCTTGTACTCAGGCAAACGTTAGTCTCTGTTGTCAGGCATGCTCGTACTCAGGCAAACGTTAGTCTCCTTTGTCAGGCATGCTTGTACTCAGGCTAACGTCAATCTCTGTTGTCAGGCATGCTTGTACTCAGGCTAACGTCAATCTCTGTTGTCAGGCATGCTTGTACTCAGGCAAACGTTAGTCTCTGTTGTCAGGCATGCTTGTACTCAGGCAAACGTTAGTCTCTGTTGTCAGGCATGCTTGTACTCAGGAAACTTTAGTCTCTGTTGTCAGGCATGCTTGTACTCAGGCTAACGTCAGTCTTTGTTGTCAGGCATGCTTGTACTCAGACTAACGTCAGTCTCTGTTGTCATCTCTTTTTTTCAGAAAGGTGTCACCATGTTAATTGCCGTTTTAGCAACCTGTGTTCTGATGTGTACTGTGAGCGGCGATGGACCCGGTAAGTTTTCGCTTGTTAACAAAACTGTCTGTCAGAGACCGCTGCTTGTTGGAACTGAATAATGTATGTGTCAGACATTTTTCCTCCTACGTTATGTGAGACAGCTGTACTTGAGTGATCGTTATGTGACACATCTAAACTTGAGTGATCGTTATCGCACACAGATGTGTTTCTTTGATGGTTGTATGACACAGATGTTTGTCCGTCTTGGTTGTATGATACAGCTATCTGTCAGTAATGGTTGTGTGACACAGCTGTGTGTCCGTCTTGGTTGTATGACACAGCAGCTGTGTGTCCGTCTTGGTCGTGTGACACAGCTGTCTATCAGTGATGGCTGTATGACACAACTGTGTGTCCGTGATGGTTGTATGACGTAGCTATTTGTCAGTGATGGTTGTATAATACAGCTGTGTGTCTCCTATGGCTGTATGACACAGCTGTCTGTCAGTGATTTTTGTATGACACAGCTGTGTGTCAGTGATGGTTGTATGACACAGCTGTCTGTCAGTGATGGCTGCATGACACAGCTGTCTGTCAGTGACGACTGTATGACATAGCCGTCTGTCAGTGACGGCTGTATGACACAGCTGTGTGATCTTGATTTTTGAATGACACAGTTGTGTGTCAGTGATGTTTTTATGACACAGCTGTGGGTCTGTGATGGTTTTTCTGTGACACAGCTTATGTCTGTGATCGTTATGTGGTACAGCTCTGTGTCACTGATCGTTATATGGCACAGATGTACGTCAGTGATGGTTCTGTGACACAACTGCGCATGTGTGATCGTACTCTGGCACATTTGCACGTCGAAGATCGTTCTGTGACCGAGCTGTACGTAAGTGATAGATCTGTGACACAGCTGCACGTAAGTAATCATTTCCTGAAAACAATTTACAAAGTAATGTACGCGTGACTGGAATGTGGAACTCTTTGCTTGATGTAAATGGATATGAGCTACAGTAAATTAATGCGTTGACACTCTGGTATTAGACAAACAAATAAAGAAATAGACACTCTGGTACTGGACAAACCAGTTATGACATAGACATTCTGGTACTAGACAACTAGTCATGACATAGACACTCTGGTACTAGACAACCAGCCAAGACTTAGAGACTCTGGTACTGGACAAACCAGTCATGACATAGACACTCTGGTACTAGACAACTAGTCAAGACATAGACACTCTGGTACTGGACAACCAGCCAAGACATAGACACTCTGGTACTGGACAACCAGTCATGACATAGACACTCTGGTACTAGACAACCAGCCAAGACTTAGAGACTCTGGTACTGGACAAACCAGTTATGACATAGACACTCTGGTACTAGACAACTAGTCAAGACATAGACACTCTGGTACTGGACAACCAGCCAAGACATAGACACTCTGGTACTGGACAACCAGTCATGACATAGACACTCTGGTACTGGACAACCAGTTATGACATAGACACTCTGGTACTGGACAACTAGTCAAGACATAGACACTCTGGTACTGGACAATCAGCCAAGACATAGACACTCTGGTACTAGACAACTAGTCAAGACATAGACACTCTGGTACTAGACAACTAGTTAAGACATAGACACTCTGGTACTGGCAACCAGCCAAGACATAGACACTCTGGTACTGGACAACTAGTCGAGACATAGACACTCTGGTACTAGACAACTAGTCAAGACATAGACACTCTGGTACTGGACAGCAAGAAATCGACAGGCCGTTACAGAAAACATGTGCCTATCGAAGACTGCTTTACGTGTGTATAGGAATCGTGGCGTTCTCTGCCTCATTCAATGAGAGTCAAGTGTTTGAAACCGACCAGCTTATCAAGTTTCCCAAGGTGCACAACAACTTCGGCAACGCCTTCAATAATGACACCGGTGTCTTCACCGCCTCCAAGGTGAGCATTTCTTGCACTGATTTATTCTTTCCTGTATCAATACCCTAAGTGCGATTTTGTGCTCATTGCATTCTCCATCTCTTACTCTCCCTTTCCCCTTCTTGCTCGCCTTGAGTCTGTCTCTGTCTGTCTGTCTGTCTGTCTGTCTGTCTGTCTGTCTGTCTGTCTGACTCTCTCTCTCTCTCTCTCTCTCTCTCTCTCTCTCTCTCTCTCTTTACACGGGAAACTGATCACTCAGCAGCAAATGGTGACCCAATTAATCACCAAATAATGACACGGACACAAACAGAACGACTAAGGTGGATAAATCCCCAGCAGAGACAATCAAACACATTCCACTAAATAAAGACAAACCGCCAAACAACTGATAGACAACCAGTCGGTGCTCAGCAACTCGCCAAAGCAACAACATGAGACCTAAAATAATGAACTACAGACAGAGAACTAATAAGTATGAAGGCATTTACGGCGCTGGCAGGTATCTGAGAGGGCATTGTTGCTTGGGGTCCGCTCGCTCAGTCAGTAGAAAGTTTATTGCTTCGAAGTCGGATTGCATCTACCTTAGCGGCGAGGTACCGACAGTCTGGTTACAACTAAGCCAGATCTGTAAAACGGATGTGCACGCAATACTCCAGCTCTGGAACAAGACTGAAGTCTAGAAGTGGACGAACAACAAGAAATTTCAACCGGAATTTACGACCGGCGAAGGTAAAGATGAATAACAAGTAAATGTTTCAAGCACTAGATAGATTTTGCATTAAATAAATAGTCCACCGAATGAACCTTGCATTAGATCAACTAGACAGGCAGACAGAACTAACGTTAAACTCTGTGTACATGTTTGCCCCCACAGACTGGCCTGTATTTCTTCAGTCTATTCGCCCATGCCCAATATGATCAAGCATTCTGTTTCCGCATTTTCCGGGAAAACACTCGACTTATTTCTGTCTGTGGCAGATCCGCGGGCAGCCATGCAGCTTCAGGTAAACCACATGTATGTGTGATGTCAGGTAAACCACATGTATGTGTGATTTAAGGTAAACCACATGTATGTGTGATGTCAGGTAAACCACGTGTATGTGTAATGTCAGGTAAACCACATGTATGTGTGATGTCAGGTAAACCATATGTATGTGTGATGTCAGGTAAACCACTTGTATGTGTGATATCAGGTAAACCACATGCATGTGTGATGTCAGGTAAACCACATGTATGTGTGATGTCAGGTAAACCACTTGTATGTGTGATGTCAGGTAAACCACGTGTATGTGTAATGTCAGGTAAACCACATGTATGTGTGATGTCAGATAAACCATATGTATGTGTGATGTCAGGTAAACCACATGTATGTGTGATTTCTGGTAAACCACTTGTATGTGTGATGTCAGGTAAACCACATGTATGTGTGATATCAGGTAAACCACTTGTATGTGTGATATCAGGTAAACCACTTGTATGTGTGATATCAGGTAAACCACTTGTATGTGTGATGTCAGGTAAACCACTTGTATGTGTGATATCAGGTAAACCACATGTATGTGTGATTTCTAATAAACCACATGTATGTGTGATGTCATGTAAACCACGTGTCTGTGTGATGTCAGGTAAACCACATGTATGTGTGATGTCAGGTAAACCATATGTATGTGTGATGTCAGGTAAACCACGTGTATGTGTGATGTCAGGTAAACCATATGTATGTGTGATGTCAGGTAAACCACATGTATGTGTGATGTCAGGTAAACCACGTGTATGTGTGATATCAGGTAAACCACATGTATGTGTGATGTCAGGTAAACCATATGTATGTGTGATATCAGGTAAACCATATGTATGTGTGATGTCAGATAAACCACATGTATGTGTGATGTCAGGTAAACCACATGTATGTGTGATTTCTGGTAAACCACATGTATGTGTGATATCAGGTAAACCACTTGTATGTGTGATTTCAGGTAAACCACTTGTATGTGTGATGTCAGGTAGACCACACGTATGTGTGATTTCTGGTAAACCACCTGTATGTGTGATTTCTGGTAAACCACTTGTATGTGTGATGTCAGGTAAACCACATGTATGTGTGATGTCAGGTAAACCACATGTATGTGTGATGTCAGGTAAACCATATGTATGTGTGATGTCAGGTAAACCACATGTATGTGTGATGTCAGGTAAACCACATGTATGTGTGATGTCAGGTAAACCACATGTATGTGTGATGTCAGGTAAACAACGTGTATGTGTGATATCAGGTAAACCACTTGTATGTGTGATGTCAGGTAAACCACTTGTATGTGTGATTTCTGGTAAACCACTTGTATGTGTGATGTCAGGTAAACCATTTGTATGTGTGATGTCAGGTAAACCACATGTATGTGTGATGTCAGGTAAACCATATGTATGTGTGATGTCAGGTAAACCACATGTATGTGCGATGTCAGGTAAACCACATGTATGTGTGATGTCAGGTAAACCACGTGTATGTGTGATGTCAGGTAAACCATATGTATGTGTGATGTCAGGTAAACCACATGCATGTGTGATGTCAGGTAAACCATATGTATGTGTGATGTCAGGTAAACCATATGTATGTGTGATGTCAGGTAAACCACTTGTATGTGTGATGTCAGGTAAACCACATGTATGTGTGATGTCAGGTAAACCACGTGTATGTGTGATGTCAGGTAAACCATATGTATGTGTGATGTCAGGTAAACCACATGTATGTGTGATGTCAGGTAAACCACATTTATGTGTGATTTCAGGTAAACCACATGTATGTGTGATGTCAGGTAAACCACTTGTATGTGTGATGTCAGGTAAACCACTTGTATGTGTGATTTCTGGTAAACCACTTGTATGTGTGATGTCAGGTAAACCACTTGTATGTGTGATTTCTGGTAAACCACTTGTATGTGTGATGTCAGGTAAACCAATGTATGTGTGATGTCAGGTAAACCAATGTATGTGTGATGTAAGGTAAACCACATGTATGTGTGATGTCAGGTAAACCACATTTATGTGTGATTTCAGGTAAACCACGTGTATGTGTGATATCAGGTAAACCACATGTATGTGTAATGTCATGTAAACCCCACGTAGGTGTGATTTTTGGTAAACAAAACGTTTGGGTGAAGTCAGATAAACCACATGTATGGTTAATGTTTGGTAAACCACCGGTATGAAATATGCTAGATAAACCACACGTAGGGGTGATTTCTGGTAATCCGAACGTAGGGGTGATGTCATGTGAACCACACGTAGGGGTGATGTCAGGCACCATAAATCTATGTGATGAGTTGAGTTGAGTCAAGAATTGACATAACAGCACTCGGGGCATTCCCATGCATGCTTTGTCCTCATCTTCAGCAGCCAGCGCAGAGTTCCAATACTGAGGGTACCGGTCGTAGTCTGGTTATATGCCTTTCCTCTGTAAATCTATGTGATGTCAGGTAAACTACAAATATGGGGTGATGTTAGCTAAACCACAAATATGGGTATTGTCAGCAAAACGAGAACTATGTGTCATGACCAGTACACGACAATTCTGGATGATATCCGATTGTACAACTCTGGGTGGTGCTGGGTTACTTGTTTGTGTTTTACGTATGACATGTCCCACCCGACAGGCTTAGAAAGCTGAGCCTAAGTTCTTCTAGCCGTCTTTTATGCCTTTTACCTCTTTACCCACCTGCTTCACACCCCTAGGTTGCTCTGTCTCTCAGATTCTCTCTTAGACTCTCTCTCACTCTCTCAGACTCTCTCTCTCTCTCACACTATTGGATTCTCTCATAGACTCTTTCCCTCTCTCAGACTCTCTTAAACCCTCTCAGACTCTCTTTCAGACGCTATTTTTTCTAGACTGCCTCTCACTCTCTCTGCTAGACTCACTCTGTCAGACTTTCTCTCAGACTCTCTCGCTGTCTCTCAGACTCTCTCTCTCTCTCTCTCTCAGACTCTCTCTTTTCCAGACTGCCTCTCACTCTCTCTGTTAGACTCTCTCAGACTCTCTCTTTTCTAGACTGCCTCTCACTATCTCTGTCCGACTGTCTCTCACCTCGCTCTCTCCGAGACTCTCTGACAGACACTCCCTGTTTTATGTAAACTATATACTGACCTAGCTTTAACTTTGATAGTGTCAAGCCAGTTGTGGAACCGGAAATAAAACATTTCACTAGGTTAAAAACTACACTAGGTATAGATGATACTATATATTCATTGCACTAGATAAACATTTCACTAGGTAAACATTACACCAGGTAGAGATGATACTAGATATCCATAGCACTAGATAAACATTTCACTAGGTAAACATTACACCAGGTATAGATGATACTAGATATCCATTGCACTAGATAAACATTTCACTAGGTAAGCATTACACCAGGTAGAGATGATACTAGATATCCATAGCACTAGATAAACATTTCACTAGGTAAACATTAAACTAGGTATAGATGCTACTAGATATCTATAGCACTAGATAAACAAACTGTATCGTCAGTTAAACTGTCTGAGTAAACCTTTCTCTGAATGTAAAAACATATTTTAATGTCTCTTTGCATTATAATCTAAACGGTGAATTTTACGCTGGTCTCCCCATTTACTCATCGCCGGTTGTAGGTCAACTCCGATGATAGGTTGGTTGGACTAGTCTACCGTGGTCGAGGTTATTGGTGCCGCAGTCTGTTTTTGTCAGGCATTTACGATTTTAATTCTGAGAAAGATACTGCCTGTGACATAGGTTTGTCACTCTCTAGGGGTCTTGTATGTTAGACCTTTGACATAGGTTTGTCACTCTCTAGGTGTCGTGTGTGTTAGACCTTTGACATAGGTTTGTCACTCTCTAGGGGTCGTGTGTGTTAGACCTTGGACATAGGTTTGTAACTCTCTAGGGGTCGTGTGTGTTAGACCTTTGACATAGGTTTGTCACTCTCTAGGGGTCTTGTGTGTTAGACCTTTGACAAAGGTTTGCCACTCTCTAGGGGTCTTGTGTGCTAGACCTTTGACATAGGTTTGTCACTCTCTAGGGGTGTTGTGTTTTAGACACAGTATCCAAATGTTTTAGAAGTGTTAAAAGCTCTGGCATGGTGAAATATACAAGACGCGGTATGAGCGCGAGTGCGGAATATCTTCGTGTCTTTGTGTGAAAGTCGGATCTGCCGAGGCCAACCTATCAGTGGTAAAGTGGTCAGTAGGTCGTCCAATCAGAAGCGAGCTAGTGTTTAGCGGTGTGCTTATGAGAAGACGAGCGTAAAATTTACCATCTATATTTAAACCACATGGTGGGTTGCTTAACATCTGACTCAGCGGATGTGCCAATGAGCCAGATTTAAGATAAATGTTGGTGTTTGGATGGCGTGCTTTGCTGCATGTTTGACTTTTTTATCTATTTAATTATTTGGTTATCTATTTATGATGGTTGACCCTCGGCAGGTAATGCTGTGCTTTCGCGGGTCAAGTCTGGAGAGAAAGTCTTCGTGAGAGCCTTCCACAAGTCCTTCATCTACGAAAACAGTGAAAACACCTACTCTTCCTTCAATGGATACTTGGTCAGTCTCAATTAATGCTGCTAGGACGGTCAACACATTCCATGAGACTACATCCGAATTATATCGATGATTATTTCCTTGTGTGAACAATGTGTCGTGGACAACCTTGTCTGAACACTGTGTCGTGGCCAACCTTGTCTGAACACTGTGTCGTGGACAACCTTATCTGAACACTGTGTCGTTTACAATAAACTAACAGGTTGAAATATTTTAATGTAGCTTGTCGGTTATTTATCTCCAAACTTGGCCAGTCACAACTCAGACTGCACAAATGTGGCCTTTATGTTAGAGCTTCTTATCCTCCTCCTAGTTCCTTTAGTCCATCTTCAGTCCTCTCTGCTGTTTTTCATGTCTGCCTACCCTTTTCATTTATTCTTTCTTTCTTTTTTCATTCCTCCATCTTTCATTCCCTCTTTCCTTTTTTTCCTCCTTTCTTTAATTCTTTCTTTCTTTCCATTTTCCTTTCTTCATTTCTTAATTCATTTGTTCTTTACCTTCCATTATTTCATTCTTTCTGTCTTTCTTTCTCTCTTGTTTTTCCTATTATATCCACGCCATATTTTACTTTTGTTCTTCCCACCTTTTTTTTCTTATCCTAAGCCTCTTTTTATCCTTCCTTTCTTCCTTCGATCCTTTCATTCTTTCTTTCATTCTTTCTTTCTTTTACTCTGTCATCCTTTCCTTTTTTTGTGTTTCTTTTTCCTCTACATCTTCGTCTTCACAGTCATCGTGCCATACGATCAAGTCATTTGACTCTAATCATTAGAAAAAAAAATTAACTTAAATTCTCGACTTCATTCTAATCTAATGGTTTTACTTGTATCTAATCTAATGGTTTTACTTGTATCTAATCTAATGGTTTCATTTGTATCTAATCTAATGGTTTCACTTGTATCTAATCCACTGGTTTCACTTGTATCTAATCTAATGGTTTCACCTGTATCTAATCTAATGGTTTAACTTGTATCTAATCTAATGGTTTCACTTGTATCTAATCTAATGGTTTTACTTCTACCTAATCTATTTGTTTCACTTCTACCTAATCTATTGGTTTCACTTGTATCTAATCTAATGGTTTTACTTGTATCTAATCTAATGGTTTTACTTGTATCTAATCTAATGGTTTTACTTGTATCTAATCTAATGGTTTTACTTGTACCTAATCTATTGGTTTCACTTGAATCTAATCTAATGGTTTCACTTCTATCTAATCTAATGGTTTCACCTGTATCTAATCTAATGGTTTAACTTGTATCTAATCTAATGATTTCACTTGTATCTAATCTAATGGTTTCACTTGTATCTAATCTAATGGTTTCACCTGTATCTAATCCAATGGTTTCACTTGTATCTAATCTAATGGTTTCACTTGTATCTAATCTAATGGTTTCACTTGTATCTAATCTAATGGTTTCACTTGTATCTAATCTAACGGTTTCACCTGTATCTAATCTAATGGTTTCACCTGTATCTAATCTAATGGTTTCACCTGTATCTAATCTAATGGTTTCACCTGTATCTAATCCAATGGTTTAACTTGTATCTAATCTAATGGTTTCACTTGTATCTAATCTAATGGTTTTACTTCTACCTAATCTATTTGTTTCACTTCTACCTAATCTATTGGTTTCACTTGTATCTAATCTAATGGTTTTACTTGTATCTAATCTAATGGTTTTACTTGTATCTAATCTAATGGTTTTACTTGTATCTAATCTAATGGTTTTACTTGTACCTAATCTATTGGTTTTACCTGTATCTAATCTAATGGTTTCACCTGTATCTAATCTCATGGTCACAATCTGCTGGTTTACCCAAGCCTATTATTTGGCAAGCCTTTGACATATTTAGAAGGTAGCACGTAAGTCACTGAAACAACTTGTTATGGCGCACACTTGGGAGATTAAAACGCTGTCCTGTCACACACTTGAGAGAATAACAAGTTGTCTTGTCACACACTTGAGAGAATAACAAGTTGTCCTGTCACACACTTGAGAGATCAACAACTTGTCCTGTCACACACTTGAGAAAATAACAAGTTGTCCTTTCCCACACTTGAGAGGGCAACAACTTATCTGGTCACACGCTTGAGAGAATAACAACTTGTCCTGTCACACACTTGAGAGATCAACAACTTGTCCTGTCACACTTGAGAGAATAACAACTTGTCGTGTCACACACTTGAGAGATCAACAACTTGTCCTGTCACACCCTTAAGAGATCAACAACCTGTCCTGTCACACACTTGAGTGATCAACAACTTGTCCCGTCACACACTTGAGAGATCAACAACTTGTCCTGTCACACCCTTTAGAGATCAACAACTTATCTTGTCACACCCTTGAGAGATCAACAACTTGTCCTGTCACACTCTTGAGAGATCAACAACTTGTCCTGTCACTCCCTTGAGGGATCAACAACTTGTCCTGTCACACCCTTAAGAGATCAACAAATTGTCCCGTCACACACTTGAGAGATCAACAATTTATCTTGTCACACCACTGAGAGATTAACCTATTGTTCTATCACACCCTTGAGAGATCAACAACTTATCTTGTCACACCCTTGAGAGATTAACAACTTGTCCTGTCACACCCTTGAGAGATCAACAACTTGTCCTGTCATACCCTTGAGGGATCAACAACTTTTCATGTTACACCCTTTGTCTGTCATCACATACTTGCTGTGTTTGTTAAATGATTGAATCGGGTTGTACCGGATATTCCTTTCTCGCTGTCTGCAACTGGTGTACTGTCTGGCACTGATGTACTGTCTGGCACTGATGTACTGTCTGGCACTTATGTACTGTCTGGCCCTAATGTATTTACTGTCTGGAACTGATGTTCCTACTGTCTGGCACTGATGTACTGTCAGGCACTGATGTACTGTCTGGCACTGATGTACTGTCAGGCACTGATGTTCCTACTGTCTGACACTGATGTATTTACTGTCTCGTATTAATGTACTGTCAGGCACTGATGTACTGTCTGGCACTGATGTTTTTACTGTCAGGAACTGGTGTTCTGTCTAGCACTGAGGTATTTACTGTCTGGAACTGATGTACTGTCTAGCACTGATGTATTTACTGTCTGGCGCTGATGTAATTCTAGCACTGATGTATTTACTGTCTGTCACTGACGTATTTACTGTCTAGCACTGATGTATCTACTGTCTGGCGCTGATGTAATTCTAGCACTGATGTATTTACTGTCTGGCACCGACGTATTTACTGTCTAGCACTGATGTGCTATCAGGCACTGATGCACTATGAGGCACAGGTGTACTTTAATGTATGGCATTGATCTACTGTCGCGGGCTGCGTGGTCTCGGGGCATGGCGTCTGCGTCCAGTGCTAGAGGGTTTGTTTCAAGCCCCGGTGAAGGCTGGGATTTGGTCGCGTTGACCTCGAGTAATTACCCTTGGTTTTTGTTGCAGGTAAGATCAGACGCCCGTGTGTATTGTTACTTAAGTACAAAAATCTTTTGGCAGTTGGAATTTGAAAAGAGTAGCCTCACGACGCTGCTGGGAAAAATATACAGTTTAAAAAAAACCAAACAAACCCAAAGTATTTCAGTGGCATCGACGTTGCTGAAGAGTTCCTTTACTGGGCAGAGATTTTTCGGACTAAGGCTTGTGTCAGAAGTAGAACGGAGCACTTATGCGTTACCCCTTGTGCCATGATGTAGATGCGTTGTCTCAACCTAAACCTGAACCTAAACTGATGTACTGTCTTTCGCTAAGCCTATCATTCTTCCCTATCTACCATCACCATACTTGAAGGATTGAACCAGTTGCCTCTTTGTAGAGCACTCTCGACTTAAGAACATAAATGGATCACTAGTTACCAGCTTATAGACAGATCACGAGTATAAGTCTGGATGGGTTTCTGTATAACCACTTGTCAGCGCATAGAGAAAACTCGACTGTAGATCTTAGATAGGTCTCTGTGTTATCTGTTGCCAACTTACAGAGGGATACATGTAAGGTCATGTTCAGGAGAACATCACAGACATACAGAACAGCATAGACAGACACACAGAACAGCATAGACAGACACACAGAACAGCATAGACAGACATACAGAACAGCATAGACAGACATACAGAACAGCATAGACAGACACACAGAACAGCATAGACAGACATACAGAACAGCATAGACAGACATACAGAACAGCATAGACAGACATACAGAACAGCATAGACAGACATACAGAACAGCATAGACAGACATACAGAACAGCATAGACAGACATACATAACAGCATAGAGAGACACATAAAACAGCATAGACAGACACACAGAACAGCATAGATAGACATACAGAACAGCATAGACAGACACACAAAACAGCATAGACAGACACACAGAACAGCATAGACAGACACATAGAGCAGCATAAACAGACACATAGAACAGCATAGACAGACATACAGAACAGCATAGACAGACATACAGAACAGCATAGACAGACACATAGAACAGCATAGACAGACACATAGAACAGCATAGACAGACACCTAGAACAGCATAGACACACATACAGAACAGCATAGACAGACACATAGAACAGCATAGACAGACACATAGAGCAGCATAAACAGACACATAGAACAGCATAGACAGACACACATAACAGCATAGACAGACATACAGAACAGCATAGACAGACATACAGAACAGCATAGACAGACATACAGAACAGCATAGACAGACACATAGAACAGCATAGACAGACATACAGAACAGCATAGACAGACATACAGAACAGCATAGACACACACATAGAACAGTATAGACAGACACACATAACAGCATAGACAGACACACATAACAGCATAGACAGACACACATAACAGCATAGACAGATACACATAACAGCATAGACAGACACATAGAACAGCATAGACAGACACACAAAACAGCATAGACAGACACACAAAACAGCATAGACAGACACACAAAACAGCATAGACAGACACACAAAACATCATAGACAGACACACATAACAGCAT